TTCACATAATCTTGAACCAAATATCCAATATTATCCACATTACTTTCACTCCATTCTTTCTTCTTCTCTAGAAGCTTCAAGTCCACATTGGGCACAGGAAATATTCACGGAGGAACATTATCCCATACAGTAGTTGGTCCGTATTCTATGTTATTTAATCCGTATTCTTCCGCTACTGCATTAATATTCCAGCCAAATCCTTAACCTTTCAGTTACATCCGGTTACGATTTCAAAAAATAAAAATAAAAGGAACAACATGTTATTTTAAAACTTACTTACATGCCTCATTTAATGCTTATTAGCCTAGCCCACCTTTCCACAACCGACCATCTTTTTAATTGGATTGATCTATCGATTTAGGAAATTTCATCGAGAGCCTAAGCTTCTCTGTAGGACCGGATTTTTTGTAACATAATAAAGTAACTATGTCTTTTGCACCATTGTTTTTGAGGTTTATTGTAGTTTTATGTCTCGATTTATTTAATATTCAATACAAGATACTTCATTAATAATGAAGCAACTGATCTGTCCATAGAGGCTATGATAGACGTGGGTGGAAATGCTCTGCTGCTGCCTCACCAGAGAGGGAGGAGAAGTTAACCCTACCTACTGAGTAAATTGAAGGGACTGACTTAATTTATACTTTATTTTGCACGTTGTACAATTGGTTTAGAAATGACACATGCACTTTGCAAACCCACACTGGTGTATGACACATAAGCCTTTACAGAGAAAGGAAGCCCGTTAAGGGGGATTATTATTGGTGACCTCTCATTGGTTGTTCTTGATTGGAATTTACAGCAGCTGTGTGAATTATCTCTTAAGTGCAGAACATAAAAGCCAGGTGAAACACCACCATCATACATGCCCTGTTTAGGTTAGGGGTCAGTTGTAGTTGAAGGCAGCTGCTGGAGTGAAAATGGAGTTAGTACCTGCTGTGTGTTTGTTGTTGCTGTTTTGTTCTGCCTGTAGTTCTTTTGAAAGTAGATCTGAGGATGGCCTATTTTTGGAAGATCCTGAATTAGTGTGGGTGAGAATGGAGACAATGATGAGTAAAGAAATGACACCAGCCCCTGCACCTGAAACCAAATTGTTGAGGAGTGCATCAGGTAGTGGATCACCTGAAGCCAAAAATGTTCCTCAGTATCTGGCTGTCCCAGCCTCTCAGACCCTGAAACAGGTTTTCAAGCCAGAACAGGGTGCCAGAAGCCTCCCTAACTTGGCTAACGAAATGTTACTTGTGACTGCTGCCCCTACTCCGGCAATTGGCGCAACAGCCGGGACAAAGTTGGTTGAAATCCTGTGTCATGTTGACAGAATGTATGTGAGAATAGGAGAGAGGTCTTTAAGACTCGTGACGCATACAAATACTTGAAACTAGGCACCTGTCCTGTTAACAAAGGTACCAAAGAACATTACTACCTTCTGTACCTTCTGAGAACTGACTGTGGATTTGAGAAAAAGGTTGGTAAAGCTGTTCCTCTCAACTGCTGTATCATTCAGTTAGTTCTAGTTTATAACTGCAACCAACATGTGAATGTTTATGTTCCAGAGTCATCCAGATTATCTGTCCTTTAGCAATGTGCTCCACTACAGGCCAACTGGTCCAGTTTTAAGGGAAATGCCATTTGATATTCCCCTGAACTGTAACTATCCCAGGTAAGATTTAGATTAGGTTCTTAATTTTAGTATGATTGTGTAATTTAGTTCTATTACAAATCTTAACTACCAGCATTTAAGACCAAGGACATATTGCAAGACTACAGGGCAATCAATGACTTCTGTTTCAAATTTTGTATTGTGAGTTTTCACTTGACTATTGCAGGTTTTTCCACTCCTATAAAGTTGGCTTCTATCCTGATCGCATGGGTGCAGTTTTCAAACGACTCCAACCTAAAACTAGTTTCACCCTTACTCCTCAAGATGGTATGTTCCCATATTTTAAATGCACCATCACCCAGTATTTTCAGCACAAGGCCTGTTATCAGAAGCACCGTCTCTTTTTTGAAATTAGGATCTCTGAAGTGCAGAAAGGAGTGGTAACTTGCAAATGCACATTTCTAAACTTAACCAGGCTAGGAAAGTGCTGCTCCAAGTATAGATGTGCAACTTGGACAGAAGAGGGAGCGCTACAAAATGTACATCCTTAGTTTTGTAACATGGTGAGGTTAATGTGGATGATGACGTACTTCTGAGGTGGTATAAATCAGGTTCTTTAATGGGCAACAAAGATGTCTGACAAAACTTGTGTGGACAAGAATTACATGGGGAGCTAAATGCTCACCTGTAATTGACACAAATGGGAAGCTATTAAATGAATCCAAAGCTAGACAAACCCTGGAGTCAAATATTTACCATTTTAGAAAAGGCACCCTAGCACCTGATCTGTCAAGCATTTGTAAGTGTACTCAAAATATGCCAGCATAAAATACTAAAGCATGTTCTACAAGTACTCAGAACTCATCACTGCATATTCTGCTGGAGCTTAAAGGAACCAAATGTATTACTTGCATAGCAAATGTATGCAGCAGCCCTGTGTCTCTATTGTCAAGTGATGTCCCTCACTTTGCCACAGCATCAGGTAATGAAATCACTGGAACCAAAACCTTCACCTTGGGCGAGCCGATGTACTTTGAGGCCACGCAACCTGACCGCACTGCACAGTTGGGAGGCCAGAGGATATACATCGACAAGTGCTTTGTGACAGCCTCCCGAGACCCCAATTCAAATCCTCAATATACGGTCATTGACAACCAAGGGTAAGGTTTGAAATGATTTCAGTATAAGATGGGCCTGTCACTTGGTGGTTGGAGGTAAATGTGTGTCTTCTCGACAGGTGCATGATTGATGGCAAAGAGAACGAACAGTCAAGGTTCCTCGCTGGCGCCTCAGAGATGGTCCAGAAATTCAGTCTGGGTGCCTTGATTTTCAAGAATGGCGTTTCCGCTTCCTCCTCACAGGTACTGTTAAGAGGTAGTTGTACAGAGCTCAATGCTGTCAAATAATGAACACATGTAGCCATTAATGCTCAATGTCTTTCAGCAACTCTACATGCACTGCGAGATCTCTGTGGGGACACGTACTCCAACTCAGGGCTCAAAGGCTTGCAATTATGATCCAGCGACCAAAACGTGAGTTGACTCTGGCTAAAGTAAAACCTCACAGGTGTAGCTTGCTTTTGAAGGTCTTGTAGGAGGAAGTGTTTCATGTGTACTTGACTGCCAAAAGAACTCGGTGTGTATTTCCAGTATTGCCAGCTGTGCTCACTGTGATCTGCTTTGTCCATCAAGTTTGCCATCTAATATTGCTGACAACTGTTATGGTTTAGGTGGAAGGAGCTGTACTCTGATGACTCCGTGTGCACCTGCTGTGACTCGACCTGCTCCTTGGCACAGCCTAAGGGTACGTCTTCAACTTGTCTGTCTGTTGGGGAGGGGTCTTGAGGACATCTTGGTATGAAATGCAGTAACTTCAGACATGCTCCCTGACTAGGCACAGAGCTGTTCCTAGGCAGTCAATTCTTGAAGCGTTCACTTTCTACAGGCAATACTGATGCAAATCCAAAAGTACTCATCCCTTGACAATCATGCAGAATCAAAAGCATAAAATGACTCCTTACTGAAAGCTACTCTCTGACAATTATCCTCTTGTATTTTTACAGCTTCTAGGGGTATGATCTCAAGTCACTCTTGGGAGGTCGTCGCAAGCGGCAAGGATGACTATGCAGCGGTTGACCCTCGGATGAATTCCCTTGACGTGGCAGAGCATGAAGACTTAAAGCAATGGGAAAATGATTACTGACAAAATTATGTAGACATGATTTTTAAATGAGAAATGGATCACTTGCTATTATCATGACATAACTCATTCACTCTGACAGAAGAGAATAAAAGCAGAATTTAAAATCTTAATGCTTATGACTTTAAATGGCACAACTGGCATTGTCTGTACACTGCCCAGCATATTCATGTATGAGCAAGCTTGCATTTCCTGAAAATGTGTCACTGCATCTCTGTAGATGCAGTTGTGTACCACAAGGGGATGAAAGAGATTCACAGTCTTTGCTTTAGTGAATTCAGCAGGAAGTTCAATTTTCTGTGTCAAGGGGTTCCCAATAAGGGCATGGTTCAACTGCTTGTTCTCAGGGCTTCTCTCCATGAAGGGCAAATCTTGTAGCCTGGAAGTCCCCATGTTGGGTTTCCACTGTGACGGGGCTCTGGTCAAAAGCAGATGCATTAGTGCAGTTTTGAAATGAACCTCCTTGAGCACACTACTTCCAGACAGTGCTGCCTGTTTCCGGTGAAGGAACTGGGCAATTTCAAGAGTTTGACTGTGGCATGAACTTCCAGGCAGGTGTCTAGACATGTGTTCAAAGAAACTATCAAGATGGCTTGTCAGGGAGAGTGTCCAGTAAGTATCCAAGTTCTTTGGGGAGCAAGGAGTAATGAAGAAATTAGCATCGGTTTTGAATTTAACCACAGGATTCATACTGAAGCTTAGCTTCTTCACTGATCTAAATCAAATGACTGGAGCATCAATGTAGCGGCTGTTAAGCTGATACTTATGTGAAATCAGTGCCCACGCTTGTTTGATAGCGCTCTTAATCCATCTGGTCCATCACAAACATCAGTAACTTTCATCGTTACTTTCTCAGTCTCACAATGCAGCAGGCATATCATCTGCATTGGGAGACTGACAGTGGCAGCCATTTTGGACAGGTTATACGGGTCAAGTGGGCTAAAGGGAATGATATCACACACACCCACCATCTGAAAGTCCTCAATCAACATACCGTCATTGCTATCACACACTCCTCATAGCATCCAATAGATCATTTGCAAACCCCTCTAAAAATTCATCCTCCCTCCACTTGTTATTGGATGATACTTGAATACATTTAGAATGAAATGGCTGCAGAGCGTGGCTGTCTGGTAGCAGCCATGCAGGTCACTGGGAAGGTCCTGGTTTCTTCTATCTTCATTTGGGAATTTCTCCCTAGTTACTTCCTGAAGAAGTGTATGATGGAGAATATGTTCCATGAGTACCAGAGATAATCCCCCTCCCAGTCAGCGATTGTGTTCTCTGAAGTTTCATTTTCTGATGTCTTGGTGTGAAGGTGTGACAGAGGTGATTCTTGTTCTTTGGAGCTGAACATTTCCTTCTCTTCGGGCTTTTCCTGTTGCCTGTGTGGTCCGCTTGGGTCTGTAAAAGAGTCATCTTCTCCCTGTTTACTCCTCTTGTCCAGCTGTAAATTTCCCTTTTGCTCATGGTCAATTTGTGATGTTTCCAGAGCAGTCTCACCTTCACTTTTGGAGTTTTGTTGCTGATCCAAATCTGCTATAAAATATCCCCCTTCTTGTAATTTGTGATCAACATTGTCTTCCTCTGATTGCTGTTTTATGACATTCACATCATCTAAGTCTGACATTTTATCTTTTTCAGTAACTTGCTGATCAGACTGATCAACAAGTTCCTTGGGAGTGTCATCTCCAGGCCCAGCATACATCCTTTCCTTACTGATATGTGCCATTTCATGGTCCAGTTTTTCTTCTCCTCTCAGCAGCCTCTCTTCATGCTTTTGCATGCCCACTGTGGTGATATCACCCCATTCCTCAACCCCGGGGTCATCTCTTGGGTGCGTTAGGAGACCCAGAGCCACCACAAACACTCGCAGCAGAGTGCTGTGCATCGTCAATACTGTCTGTGAATAAGTCAAACAGCATAAAGAATTGTTACAAATATGATATATATAAGAACAAAAGATTGAATGAAAACCCTTGCAATTATATGTAAAATATACTTTATGGCAAAGCTCACAACGATGCAAAGCAAGTAAGAAAGAAGCTGCTTCCTCGATGGCCTGGAAGCATCTTCTTTCCTCAATTCTGTGATTACATTGTATGTCAAATGCCATTTATTACTGCTCAACAATAAAGAAGAAGGGATATGGATGTTAGACACACTCCCTAATTTTTCCCTTAAAGGCGTCAGAGCTCCACATTACTCTTCAATAAATATATATTTCTCAGTGTGTCTATAAACTGTACTATTTGGACATCACAAAAGGCCATGCTGATTCATGTCCACTGCATTGGTGTGGCGCGACATACTTCGGGGGTGAACATGTCAAAATCAAGACAAATACAACTGAAACTTTCTGCTGCTTTTCTCTATCAGTTGTGAGAACTGACTGTTTTCATAAAATGAAAAAAACATTCAATCCTCTCACAGAACTGGTAAAAAAAATAAAAACGTTTAACAGAACTTGTATGCAAACATGATTAACCAGCTCACCTCTGTTGGGCCCCCGCAACCCTGTACGCAGGATAAGCGTTTGACGACGGATGGATGGATGGATGGACCTCTGTTGGTCCTCCAGAATTTCTCCATCCTGTGCCTCATCAGCACAGTGCGTGAAAGTTCTGTGAAGGATTCGATGATGTTGAAGTTGCACAGCGGACTGACCTCAAAGAAAGTCGTGCTGTTCTTTTCTGCATACGCCCTTGCCTGCTCCGTTGGCACCTGTCGCTTGAAAGCCAGGTGCAGCCGGTTGCCCACTAGGATCCTGGGTACACCAGGGGCGTGCTGATGGAAATAAGCAATATTGTTGCTAACAAACGCACATGAGCATGTAAGAAGACCAATATGCTGTGGATTTGTTCACTACTACTGCAGCCATTATTGATTTGATCAGTCTGTTGTGATGGCAATTTAAGTTTTCAAAGAAACAGCTCAGGCAAACACTTGTCTTTCTGTGAATTTTATTAAAGTCTTCTGCAGAACTCACAGCAACACGCATAAGTGTATGCTCGAATGAGTGAGGAGAGCTGAGTGAGCCTGTCATTTATAGGGTCAATCATATCATCCCACAGAGACTCATTGTCCCTGAAGTCTGGATAACACAGAGAACAGAGATATTTCAACTGTTACGTTTACACAGATTCAGTGCCACATCACACATGAGTCTCCCTGAGTCCAGGGTTACATGCAATATGTTTGGAATTCCCATTACGCTGTGTTTTGCCAAAAACTCTTACCATAACTCTAATTTCACTCTCCTCCCATCCAGCAGAATAGTGGTGCTCTTGTAATCAATCCCTCCACACAGAGTTGTTGTCAATGTTTAAAAAGGTCTTTATAATTCAGTTCTAAACAACTGAACTAAAGCAGAGATAGTTATTTACCCCTGTGATAGTCATAGGGGGACTCTACTGATCCGTCTTGTCCAAGATTTCCCCCTTTCCGACTCTGCTGTCTCCCACCAAAAGAAACTTCAGGAGATAATAGTAACTCTTGACCGGACTATCATACCACGCATTGGATCCGATCCACAGCTTTATAAGCTCGCCAGACATCCACTGTTGGGGGCAACCTGGTTATGAGTCTGTTAGGTTTGATAGAGGTGAAAATCAGTTTGGAGTATGTGAGGGATGGGATACTACTTGGATGAATAGCAACTACAAAAGAAATAGAATGTGTGATTACTGAAATTTATAAATCAGATGGGCACTTGGTAGTAATCAACTTATTTAACCCTTTGTAAATCATTAAGCCTAGAAACCTTAGAGGAAATAATAAGGAGACAAGGAAAGGGGAAAGAAATATGGTGCAGAGACTTTAATGCACATAATAGTCTTTGGGAAAGTAAGCATACTGATAGGAATGGAGAAGCAGTGGAAGAACTACTGGATGTTAGGCAACTAGTTTGTTTAAATAATGGAAATTGCACAAGAATTGACATACGTTCTAATACGTTTATAATAATCTGGAAAACTCTTGTGAATGGAAGGTAAAGGAAAGTACAAGTATTGGAAGTGATCATTTTCCAATATTTTGTTCTATAAATGTTGAAATAGATCTTCAAGAAAGGCCTAATCATAAGAAGTGGGATTTTGCTAAACCTCATTGGGAAAAATTGAAAGAAATATGCTGTATTTCAGCAGAGTCATTTCAATGCAGGGTGATATTGAGGAATGTGCATAGAAGTTTCACATTTAATTTTGAATGCAGCATTAAATAGCATACCATGTAAGTCAGTTGGGGGGAAAAGGAAAACGGTCCCATTGTGGAACAATACATGTACAGAAGCTATTAAAGAACGAAATAGGGCAATGAAAATGTTAAGAAATAACTTCAACCAATATAATCTAATTAACTGTCAGAAGAAAAAGACTCAGACACGAAAAGTAACTAACTAGGAACTATTGTTCTACTATAAGAAGGGAAGTTAAAATAGGAGAGGTGTGGTCAATGCTGAAGAAAATGAGTGGGGAAAAAGTATATGCTAAAATACCTGTATTAGAGGGTGATGGGAATACTGGCAATAACAGATAAGGAAAAGGCAAATATGTTGGGAAAGAAGTTTGCTAGTGTGCATAGTGGGGATCATTTAGATGATATCCATAGACTACATAAAGAGAAGGTTCTTAAGGAAAATAGAAATGTGTTTATTAAAAAAATTGTGAGGAAAGTACTCTGGATGCAGAAATAAATTTGAATGAACTAGTGATTGTATCATCAATTCAGTTCAATTCAATTTTAGTTATATAGTGCCACATCACAACAAGAGTTATCTCAGAGGGCTTTTCATAAAAGAGCAGGTCTAGACCGTTCTCTGTGATGTTATTTACAGAAGCCCAACAATTCCCACCAAGAGCAAGCACTAGGTGACAGAGACAAAGAAAAACTTCCTTTTAAGAGGCAGAAACCTCGAGCAGAACCATGGCTCAGGTTGGGCAGCCATCTGCCTCGACCGGTTGGGGGTGAGAGAGAGGTGCTTAGGCCCCAGAACAATAACTTCATTTTTATCTGAGACATTAGACAACATTAGAAAATTACAGGTCATCCAGGTTTTAACATCCTGAAGGCACATTTGAAGTTTAGCTAACTGAAGAGTTTCATCTGGCTTTATCGATGGATATAATTGAGTATCATCTGCATAACAATTAAAGTTTATGGAGTGTTTCCAGATAATATTGCCTAAAGGAAGCATATATAAAGTGAAGAGGATTGGTCTGAGCACAAATTCTTGTGGAACTCCATGACTTACTTTGGCATGCATGGAGGATTCATTAACATGTACAAACTGAAATCAATCTGATAAACAGGACTTAAACTTAGAGCGGTTCCTTTCATGCCAATGAAATGTTCAAGTCTCTGTAATAGGATCTGATGGTCAATGCATCAAATACAGCGCTAAGAGCTAATCAGTCAATCTAACCAGTACAGAGACAAGTCTGATGCAATAAGGAGGTCATTGGTAATTTTCACCAGTGCTGTCTCTGTGCTATGATGAACTCTAAATCCTGACTGAAAATCCTCAAATAAACTATTGCTATGTAGAAAGTCTCTCAGCTGTTTTAGCAACTACTTTCTCAGGGGTCTTGGAGAGAAATGGAAGGGCAGCTCTCGGTCGGGGCGGCTGTGGCTCAGGAGGTAGAGCGGGTTGGCCGTTAAGCGGAAGGTCGGCGGTTCAATCCCTCTGGTTGCGTGTCCTTGGGCAAGATACTGAACCCCGAATTGCCCCTGGCGGCTATTCCGCGGCTATTCCGCCAGTGTGTGAGTGTGAATGTTAGTTTCCGTTGGAGCACTTAGACTCAGTGTATGATGTAGTGTAAAAGCGCTTTGAGTGGTCGAAAAGACTAGAAAGGCGCTATACAAGTACGGAGCATTTTACATTTAAAACACCTGGATCAAGGTTGGGCTTTTTCAGAAGAGGTTTAATTACAGCTACTTTAAAGTACTGTGGTACATAACCTGCTGATAGAGATAGATTGACCATGTCTAGTAAAGAAGTGCTGACTAAGGGTAAAAATTCTTTAAGCAGCCTAGTCGGGATGGGGTCTAAGAGGCAGGTTGAGGGAAGCAAAACAGTCTAAACATATATCTGTTTTTACAGCTGTTTCTAAGGTTCCTGAGTTTAGCGATAAGTCGGTGCCAGTTAAGGGCAGGTCTTGGTGAATTTTGTTTCTAATAGTTAGAATTTTATCATTAAAGAAGCTCATGAAGTCGTAACTACTGAGAGCTATGGGAATACATGGCTTAATAGAGCTGTGACTGTCAGCCTGGTGAGAAGAAACCTGGGGTTGTTCCTATTTCCCTTCTACTAATGACGAGTAGTACGCTGCTCTGGCATTACGGAGGGCCGTCCTATAAGTATTTAAATCTATCTTGCCAAATTAAACGAGAATTTTCCAGTTTGGTGGAACGCCAATTCCTCTCGTTTCCACGATATTTGAGCTAAATAATATATAATATTAAGTCCATTGAGCTAACCGTCTTTGTTTTTATCATTTTCTTTTTTAGAGGGGCAACAGAGTCAAGTGTCATTCGCAGCGAGCCTGCAGCACTATCAACAAGATGATCGATTTAGGAGGCTCTGAAATTTGCATAGGAGTCGTCCACCATCCTGCGACCTGACAATGAATTTAGAGCTGATGGAATCGCATCCCTAAATCTTGCTACAGCACTACCAGAAAATAGGCGGAAATCACAGGTGGGTCACCCACAATCAGAGGGGTGTCCACCCCTTAAAAACCATCAAATAATATAATGATATATACTTTGTATTGTGTAAATATAAACAATAACTGTAACAATACAAACGCAATAAAGTTGAGTTGTAACTTTAGAAACATTTTGAGTCACCCCTCCCTTGCCTCACAGAGGTTTGGTCCACTGCCTGCTTTCTCTCTCACAGAAGTCCAGTGGCAGAAAACCAGTTAAATTCTTCAGTAGTTGTGAAACTCCAGTAATGTTAAGCAGGCTGACTGTTTTATACACCTTACACATTGGATGAACTAATTCTTTTCTTTAATACAGATGATGCTGAGTCATTAATAAATT